TCTGACGATACAATGCTATTTTTAATTTCAGGAGATCTGTAGAGTGATAACTGATGCTTCCTACCATAGACTATTTTGTTGTAGCATTCAGCAAATCCAAAGATATGTGTCAACGGAATGCAAAAAGTTATAGTGCCTTTTCTATTTTTCGTATATTTATTTATCTTGTATGTTATAATATCCTTAGTTTCTAAAATCCAGCCAAAAGTATTCTGCTTGTTCATAGTACTACTATAAGTCAAAAGACCTTTCATCAAACTAGCTCTACCAGGATCCATATGTTTTCTACTTGAACACCATCCATACTATATGTTGCTCTATCAAACAAGAACATTGGTGCATTATTAGTTAAGGAGACTTCATCAGTTTCTGCTAAAGCAGTGTCATCTAATTTGGAAAGGTCTACTTCGAGGTAAATGTAAGACTTATGCAAGTGTAGATACTGATCACATGTCTCAATAACAAAATTAATTTCTCCATGTTGATTTAAACTAGAACCTGAAGAAGGAAAAACACTTATGAGATTCTCTTTTTGAATGGAAGTATCAGTCACAATAGAAGCATCAACTACGAGTATTCTATCAACGGCTTCTATCATTTTTGATGATTTATATAGCAAGAATTTAAAAGATTTTTATCAACTATTAAATGCGTATAAACTTTAGAACTGTAACGGTGTTTTTATTCTTGATATGGTTTCAAGAAGCATCCACCAAGCCTATTATTTGTACGGAAAACTCCCCAATCCAATATTTTAGAATACCCAAACTACACAAATGCAATTATCATAGAATGCTAAACAGTAAATCAGAAATAGTTCAGTATGAAGTATTCAAACCAAACATTATTGAATATGTTTCAGATGCAAAACTATGTAAAAAATTAGTTAGCGAAGTTTCAGTATATACTGACCTTTCTGGATATGAACACTTGGTTGAAAAAGAGCTTAATCATTATCCAATTACACTTTCCGAATGTAGAGAAATGATCAATAACAAGAAATGTGATTATGGAACGTTATCAAAAGGCACCTCTAACACATGGAG